TCTCGCCGCGTACGAGGCACCTTAATTATTAAAGAACCCGATTCTAGATGCTGGGAATCGCGAGGCGTTACACGACGTGCCCTCCCTCCGTCCGCGCGCTCCGAACTCGTTTCCTCCTCTCGACGCTTCTCTTTCAACGCGGACAGCTCGTACAACCCGCGTTCGTCTACCGCGATCTGCCCGCCTTACACGTCCGAGAGGATCCTCGCACGATAATTAGCGGTCGCATTATTTCCTCCGTCCCGTGCCTCTATCCAGCTTCGGCTTCTCGCCACGGTTCTCGGGCGCGTATATAGCGAACGGAGAATCAGATTGTCACCGAAACGACGGAAATGCGTCTCCACTACGCGGAATAGCGGACTAACGTGTTAACGATATTACACTACACGTATACATTATGTATGCGGATCTTCTCCGTTTGACGTGCATAGGACGATGTACAAAAGACGCGTCGCGGCGTCGGCGTTTACGCGCGCAATTCCTCCTCGGATAATGAGCGACTGGCGGTATATTTTTATGGAAATTACTGTGTACGATATATACAGTATAGTGTGCAGTATGTCTCGCAATCCGTACAATAATTTACTAATATTATTCTAGAGAATAATAAAAATCGAGATCTCTTCTTTATATAAAATTCTACATGTTATATTGATTTTCACAGACCAAATGATATCGATTTTTACTGATTTGCTGATTTTGCCCTTGATATTAGAAAAATCATCTAAGCTTTGTAAATAAATTATTAATGATAAATATTAACTATTACATGTTACAAATTACTTAATTATTTTTCGTATTAAAAATTTGAATAATTTATTAATTACTCTACTTAAGAAGAATTATTTTTATGTATTAAATTTAAGTTTGGGTAGCCCAGTTTATCTTTATGAATTGCGTGATGGAAATATATTAAAATTTATTTATTGATTTTATTACCGTTTCGAAATTTTCTACGTTCCACGTAAAAGTGAAATCGTATGATTTCAATAAATTAAAAAATTGAGCCGCATTTTTTAATGATTTAATTTTATCGAGTTATTAAAATCACATATAATTCCTCCAGGTCATAAACATTTAGTAACATATAACAATAATTAATTAATTTGCATGAATATTTTCTCGATCAAAATAAGGTAAATTTTATGCGTCAAACAAACTGTTTAATTTAATGCGATAATGGCCAATTCACCTTACAATTTCTAATAAATAGAATATAAAATTTGACATTTATCTTATACGTTAATTATTTCGTGGCGGCAACAAATTGATTGGCATCCGTACAGCTCGATCTGACGCGTTGTATACACAAGGTCACGTTGTTGTCATTCACATGGTCGAGACTCGAGCGCGCGTGAAGGCAGTACCCATGAGTTCTCATATTTCTCATTGCGTCTCGAGATGCAGTTGCGATGAGTACTAAGGGTAAGAAATACCAAACGTGATTATTATTATCTATCTCTCACATATAAAACGTTGGCTATCAGTCTGCAAGAATAATCGACTATATGTTTAAAATATGTTTCTGTGACTACGGTTTTCATATTAGAATTTTCGATTAATTCTCGACTCCAATCTTCCAGAATACCACTGTAGTGTACGGTAGTTGCAGAACATTTTTTTATATTGCATTGTACAATAATTAAAAAGAAAAAAAATTATAGGCATTGGGAGATTACAGTGTTAACAAGATTGAGAGGTAACTAATATTTCAGAGATTAACATCGTAAAAAAATCGCGCCGCTAATGATGATTAGCTGTAATGTAATTTCGTCAACGCGAGATTCTCGCGCGTCCTTCGCGCGCGGAGGAAAGTCCCGAGCCAGCTGGCGTGAATAAATCGTTCGTGGTTACACGTGCTTTTTCCACTTGCGTCCGTCCGCGTGCGTATGTGCACGGGGCCTCTTAAGATCTTAAGCGCGACGGGGCCCTGGGAGTTATGGTAACCGTAAATAATCCCACGGGCACGGTAATGGCAATACCTGAGCGCGCGGGCATCGTGATTGTGCGCGACGCGCGCGGTTATTTGCCCGCGCCGCGCGCGCGACGGTTCGACTCGGGGATTTCAGATAGACACTGTGTTATTATAGACGGGCCCCTCTTCTTTTTATCCGTCGCACGGCGCCGGATGCTTATCGGCGACGCATTTTTCGCCGACCGTGGTAAACGGGCTGCCGGCCGCGGGGATCGAGAATACGCGCGTCGCGGATACCGTATGTGCTCCACGTTAATAACACACGCCCCCTTCGATTCCGCTCGTCTCGATTGCCAGCGCAGACTCCTTTAAGAAATTGGAGTCATCCTTCCTTCGTACTTGCGCAGTGTTTAAACTCCGCTCGAGCAAGAGGCGAGTCTGTCGGACTTGTCATAAATTCGAAACTAAAATTGCTCCGCAGGATAGAATTTCAACCTCTACAAGATTCTGCGCGCGATCTTATAATAGCAAACATCTCTGTACGTAGCGTACGTTTCTTCCGATGCCTCTCTTTTTCTCTCTTTCTCTCTCTTCCTCTCGACTTACTGCCATTTAATTTACTCCCGGGCATTTCCGCTAAATCACCCACGACGTGACCTACATTAAATTAATGAATTTCTCCATAGTTGATATTAAAATACACCGTCGCTTGTCTCGATGAACGAGGGGTGCGACGTTTTGTTCGGGTTAACGCGTCGCATAGTCGACGCTGCCATCACCGGGTTTCGGATTCAGATCGAGGTGCCTGCCCCGTCGCAATATCTCACGCGCTGCACTCTCGCGCTCGGCACGCTTGACCGTGTCTGAAAGGGCGCCGCACTCTATTTTCATCGGTGTGCCCCTGTCGTCGTTGTCGTCGTCGCATAATCGCCCCGCGGGTGTCACCTCGCGTTTAAAGAGGCGACCGATTTCACGCCCCCGTCGATCGCCACGGGTGGCCGACATTCGGTTGCGCGACAGTCCTCGCTCGGGCGATGGCTAAATGCACCCTGAATGCTCTCTAAAACCTTCTTGGACCGCCTCCAGAGGTAGATAGAAAGAACGAGGGAAAGAGAGAGAGAGAGAGAGAGAGAGAGAGAGAGAGAGACAAAAAGAGAGACAAAGAGAGCTGAGGCAGGCAGAGCAGCCAGAGATTCTCGCCGCTGCTTACACGCCGCTACTGTTTCGTTGTCTCTGCCGTCGTTCCATCTGCCCTGCCCTCTTTCTCTCTCCCTCCACTTTTTTCTTTCTCTTGCAAATATCGCTTACGCCCCGTTTATCGCGGTAAATAGCGGGATTTACGCATCCCCGAATTATCTCGGATACACGTCGAAAAAAAGGAGACATTGACAGGAGGGTAGCTGCTGGGTGCGCGGACGTGGCTTCGGTTGTTGACGTATTGTCACATCCTGACATTTATTTCTTCTTTATCTACTTGACGGACGAGGACAAAAATTATATATATAAAACATTGAGTAAAAATAAAAGAATAATATAATAATAAAAAGCCTCTCGGTCTCAATGTATGCTCGATTTATATCGGTTGGCGAGCGGTATTTTTTTTCCTCTGCATGCATCCAAGAATTGTTCTAGCCCTCGGATTTCACGATCCGAGTCCTTCCGCCGTGAGATATGTTTCATCAATCATGTCGTAGCGGCTCCCGCAACATTGTTCAGCGGAATCACGCGTGCGCATCGAAGAGTGCGTGTGTTCGGCCGTCCGATTCGCCCCGCGGAGAGGTGGAATACCCGCGTTATATCTTTCGCTCCGACAAATTGCCCTTAGCGCTATCTCATCGTGGCTTCCGGTTGCGTAGGAACTTTCTGGTGCACGGTGCTCCTCGTATACACGTCTATCGCGTGCCGCGGGGCGGGAGAGGGAGAGACAGACGAGAGGTAAAGAACGAGAAAAAGAATTCGTACGTGTGCCTGTGTACATGTGTGTGTTTGTCCAAGATTAACTCAATAAATAATAGCGACGCGATGTGCGGCGGGTGTTCCGCCTCTGCGCTTTTATTATCTCGGAGATGCGAAGGCGTACGGCCGTCTGAAACGTCTGAACCATCGATCGTGCGTTCTCATTATTTTCACGATGCGAGATACTAACAGGAGGAATACAAAACGATGCCGGTGTAATGCGTAAATCGGAATTAAAATCCTACGCTATTGCGCCATGAATCACCGCTGCTTTATCTCGATTAGATGTTACTAACTGCGTCTACGCATTTTGCAATTGCACTTTTTGATTATTGAAGATAGCTACTTGTAAAAGTAACCTCGCGTTGGTTAAAATTACTGTTGCAACATTTTCGTGACATGACGCGCGTCGCAGACGTATATCACGAACGTCCGCTTCTCTTCCCTTCCCCCCTCGAGTTTGTCCGAGACTTGGCGCAATAATCGCGTTTAAAACGCATTCGTTTCAATCTCACTCCGGTGCCCGGTCGCTCGCGAGAGTTTCCACTCCTTGCTCGGCTGGGCGAGAGATGAAATGGAAATGCAATAAAAAGTTGTAATCGAGAGTCGGCGTCGGGTATACTCGGGGGATCAGGGCGAGCCGGATAAAAGCCGGTGCTCGCGCAGATAGAGACGCTCGCCCCCTTTTTTCCTCTCTCTCTCTCTCTCTCTCTCTCTCTCTCTCTCTCTCCCTCCCCCTCTCTCCCGCGGGAGAGAGTGAAAACGCATTCGGAAACGGAATAATGCCGGAGCTTTATTATTCCGACGCGAGCTGTATAACGTCTAAAGAGGTCCAATTTCGCGGAGTTAATCCTTGTAAATGGATCTCGTTGACTCGCCAACGAGGTCCCGCTCTTTATTTCTCGACTTTTATTATCGTTCTGAAAAAAAAAACGCGGGCGATTGCTTCCGCCTCGGAATCGTACTTTACTTGAACTTTCCAAGCTACAAATCTTCCCGAGATTTCTTTCGCCGGATAAATCTTCTTTCGAAGCGTGAAAAACTAACTAAACTATAAGGCCTAAAATTCTAGATACCTATCGTGCTTCAATTTGTCTCCTAACGCTCCTGAAAAAAAAAATCATTTCAGCTGCGCGGTGGAAGGAGAAACTGGACCTTCGACGATCTTGTCGGCGTTCCGCTCGATTCAATTTGTCGGGTCGAGGGAGATCGGTCGCGGTGAGAGTCCGGAATTGAAACATCCGACGATGAAACATCCCGCGCAGATATTGGGAAATAAAATACCTCGCATATTCCGTACACGAACACACGCGACATACACATGCATGCCGAAAGGTCGAGCTATAGCCCGCTCGCCTTTTCTCGACCAAGCGGAGAGGATGTAGAGGAGGTCCTCGCTCGTGCTCCTTGGATTATCGTTTCCCCGGCCGCGGCGAGAACGACGCTGCGGAATTATAATGCGGCGGTGTACAAACGAGTTGGCGTTTTCGGTTGTAATTTATTCGAGGCCACCCCGTAATTAGCGGGACGACCCGACGGGCATACTATTCCCACTCCTGTCGCGTTCCCCGGATTCCATTTATCACAAATCAGCAGCTGCCTCGGATACCCGTGGCCCCGCTTGCGGTGTGCTGTCATGGTGTCGGACATGACATTCTGATAAAGCTCATAAGCGAAATTAGAGACTGCGTTTTGTTTTTCGCATTTCCTGATATTTTCGCCCGCTAATTGGAAGCATAATCTGCCGACCTGATATCTTGAAGCTCTTTCGGGACGTACAACAAAATCATGGGATATTATCTTTGAAAATGTACGCGCGAAACAATCACGCGAAATTACTTGGGGAGGAACAATACTGCGTAAAGTCTTATAACAAAAATGAAACTTTATTATGTATAACCGTGCATTTTAATTTAATTATACGTATGAAAGAGAAATTATGGAACAAGAGCTCTTAATTGAACAAGAATCGTTCTACCGTTCTACCGCACTTCACACCAACCTGTAGAATCGTATTCTCACCGGTGTATTCATGGTGCGATAAACTTAAGCGGAATGATATACGATACGGAAAGAGCCGGAAAGAGCGCACGCGAAAATACCCAAAGCGAATGGCAGCATAGGCGCAGGGACATTATTCACGGCGTCACGCTCACCTCCTTCCGTTTCAAGCGCTCGGGCTCGAGTAGTCGTGGATCGAGGGTGGATCACACAACGTTGGCGTGTCGCAGGGCTCACGCGCGATCGCGCCCGCTCGACACTCGGCAGTGACGAGGAATCAGGACGCCGAATACCTCCAATTTCCTCCTCCCCCTTTTCCCGTTCCGTCGCCTCTCGCTCGCGCTTCCGCGATCGACGATTCCCGTTTCTACGTTTCTCTCTTTGTCGTTGCCGCGCGGAGAGCGGAACAGCAACAGGTGTCCGCGGGGACATTCGCAGAAACTGCGAGGGATGCGAGAGGGTGGAAACGTCGAGGGCAACCGGGCGCTTCGAGAGAGCAAGGGAGAATTCCTCCTCTTTATTTATGAGCTTTTTATTCGACTTGTTGAGCTCTCGCTTTCGCCCTCCCGTCTCTCTCTCTCTCTTTCTCTTTCTCTCTCTGTCCCTTCCGCTTCGTATCTCGTCCTCTCGATGAACGCGAGTACAAATCCAGAGAGAGAAAAAGACGGAGGGAATGGGAAAAAGGGCGGAAAGTACGCGTGGCGGCACTCCTTCGCCCGAGAGGGTGCCGGAAATCTCTCGTTTGCCAGGGGCGGAAAAAAATGCGACATTTTTCCGCGTAGCTGGTGGGGCCGCGCTTCCCGATTTTTCGCATAAAGAGGCAGAGCGACAAAGTCACAGCTTAAAGCCGAATATATCCACTGAGAGTAACGCCGAGCTACAAATCCAGTTGTTACGCACTATTGTATCATTAATTGTTTCAAGAGGATAGTTTTTCTTTTCACTGTCATTCCATTTAATATTGTCACTTATCGATTCTGTATTTTATTTGACTAATACAAAGATTAACGAATGAATCCGTTTGGACAAAAAATTGATGAATACTTCTGAAAACTGTATACAGAGAGAATCGCCACGGTCGAGCCATCCGTTTGACCCAGTTTTTCGAATACCGACGTACGCCTTTTAATACGCCGTTATGGCTTTCCACCGAGATAAAGATAATAAAACAGCCGGTCTTTGCACAATATTCGCCAACGATTTGCGCATAATAAGTGCCGGTAGAGGAAATCTTCGTAGGCGAGAGAGAGATTAAATTCGCCTCTAAACGAAGCGCGGATCTTTTAACGATCTCCCTCCTGCTTTCCCCCTCCCCCTCCTTCTCTTCCACTCGATCGTGCTATCGCGCGCAGGTGTAATAAAATTTTCAACTCCGTTATCCGGAATCGCCGTATGGATCTCCGGAGAAATCAAGCGCTTCGCATGTCGATGTGCACGTTTGCGGCGCGGCGATGCGGCCGCCGACCAACGCGGTGCTGCATCCAGGAGTCGGGGCAGCCCGGCAGATCGTGACAACGATACCGATCCAAACGCCACCGACAAAAGCCAGTTGGGTGATGAGGAGAGAGGAGGGAGAGGAAGAGCTGGAGGAACACCTTGGAATCCCGTCGGTTAGTCCGAAGAATACTTTCCCGCACAGTAGTGAGCGAACCCCTCCCCCCCCCTCGTCCTCGTCGGTTTTTCTACCTCCTCTCCTCTCCTCTCCTCCCAGTAAGTCCATCGGGGTTTCAGGTATTATAACACTTAGCCTCGGCTACCCGCCGACCCCTCGCCGCTGCTGCTGTTACTGCTGCTGCGAGGTTTTCAGGTATACACAACGATCGGCAGCGCTGGGACGCGAGAGGAGATAGATACGATTTAGGCGTAATCCGTCAAAGAGTTCTTTCAACGTCCGCCAGAAACGTTTTATCTATGATCTCCATTAAAGTTCAGTTAACGCCCTCTTGGCCCTCTTTCGCTTTCCGTCCGGAACCCCCTTCTTCTTCTTCTTCATTTACGTCTTCTCTCGCTACGCGCACGCTCGAGCACGGCTCTTCACGAGAACGGGTACGGATTTCGTCCGGAGCGTCTCTTTTTCCCTCGACGGTCCCTTTCAAAACGATTTTCGCGCGTATGTCGCTATTATCACTCTTTTACAGAATTTAGTATGATGCGTGACCACTCCATTTCTATTCTCGTCTCTTTATTTAAATATAAATTTAAGAGAGTACACAATAAATACAGAAATTAAAGAGTCTCTATCTTTCTTTATCTTCTCTGCAGTTAATAATAGGATATTTATCGTGATGAATGAAAGTTGGCAAATATATGATCCAATGGAAAACCAGGCAATCAGTTAACCGCACCTGTACACTTCGACTCGACGTCGAAAGAATTGAACTTTAGAAATAACAAGGGACATTTACAGCCTCCTTTCATTCGATTCTGCTTGATCTTGCACGATCGTTCTCGTATACCGATATCACATTGCAATAGACAAAATTGAACAAATTGTAATTTTTGTAAGCTGTCTCATAATCTCGGTGATTCATATTTATCACTGATTTTTGCCAGACTTTTTCTCGGCAAGAAACGTTAACGGTCATAGACATGAGGTGTGCATTTCTCCGGCGTCGCGCTACCCGTTCTTTAACCCGCAACCGCGTTTCGACTTCTCAAAGTGTCTCGAAACAGAGCGTGGAGAGAGCGATATTCGGCCGCCGATGCCGAGGCATTGTAATTAAAACCTCCTGAATAAAGCAAACGCAATCTCCCGGCTCGCGCGAGCGCGGAGGCGCGTCGTTTAATTTCACGTTCATTACGTCGCGAATGCGTGCGTGCGTGCGTGCGTGCATGCGTGCGTGCGTGCGTGTATACGCTCTTGTAGTCGGGGGCGCGTCTCTCGATGGCGCAACCCTTCCTTCTTAGATGTAGCCCCCTCGAAAGCCCCGTCTCTCTTTAGCCGTCTCGCCCCTCGACTGCTACTCCACTCGCGATCCCTTCCCGCTACTCGAAAACGTATCGGGTTACCTCCGACATAATTCCGTTAATTATGATTTCGTAGTATGATTTTCCGTCGACTCGAACGCGAGTACACGAGTTGCACGACTACCCCTAGGAGAATTATTCTTTGACGCGACGTTTGTAACCTGTCGTTATGTAACACGAGTAGAACAAACGTATCTATGTGCGTCGGTACATCAATCGTATAATTATCTATCCTATAATTTTCATTACTATTCCGAAATTCATCCCGTATTCTCTTTCCAAGAATTATCTCAAACGAAGAAAAATTGAAACGTTAGTGAATTTATTTGAACATGTATCTACATCTGCCTATTTCTCTATTCTTTCCTTTTTAATATTATGATGATTATTTAATGCTAATTAATAATTGCTTTCGCTAAAATTTCTCTCATTTACGATGATTTGTATTATTTTCGGCGTACGGTTTTAAACTGCGTCCTAGCGTGACCGAGGCGATATGGAAAACCGGGAACGGGTTGATCGTAACTGGCAGAACAGGCGGAACGGTAGGTGGTACCAATTTAAACCTCATAAATGCAAAATCGCGCGATGATTGCGTTCATAAAGGTCTCCGTTAGTCCGCGTGGCATCTTGGCGACCTCCTTCCGCGGGTCGCCTCTTGCCGGGGTAATTTACATTGATATTTATGCCGTGTCATAACCGAGTCTCCGCCGGGGGGAGGTTACGGAACGGATTCGTACAGCTAATCCCCGTCTTGCCGGGGGGTTGTTTTAATTGAAATCTTACTCGGTTCCTCGGATTCGCGAGCGAGGGCAGAAGACGATGCACTCCACCGAAAGGGGTTAACGAGGGAGCGTTACGCGTGCCGGGGTCGCTATGCCGGTTTACTTTACACCGTGCTCAGATACGAGTCTGGCAAATCTAATTTCGCATTAACCAAAGATATATTTGAATATCAAGACGAATTTCTGAAAACAACGTCAATTTCGGTATAAAAATTATATGTATATTTTGCTGTTAATCTTGTAATTTTATATTTAAGTATCTCATCTAACGTACCGCGGTTCGGTTATCTCTCGTAATACCTGAATACTGCAGTGCGACTTCAAAAATTACATTAATAGAACGTCGGATCTTCCCTTCGATAATCCGGCGGCGCGACGCGCGTTGTACATGAGTAATTCAGAATGCTCTTGGCGAATTTCCGCGGGACGCCGCGCTCACTTTTTCTCGAAACGACGAAAGTTGAGCAATTCCGCGAGATCATGCCGCACACCGAAATGTCAACCGCGAGACCACTAAAGCGAGAGAAACTTTTAATTCGTTCATCTCGTCGGGCTCAAAGGGTCGGCGAATGAGACTTATTAAAATTTATACGATCCGCCCCCCGCGTACAAGCGGCTCTCCTCGTCTCCCC